CAACTTTGTAAAGACACACACACACACAACTTTTGACTTCAACGAACTGAGCTTTGTGGCGCTCATATGACCTTATGCAGTTGCGAGCGCCGTTACACCTCTACTAAAACAAAAAACAAAGGAACTGATCTTTATAATATACCATTTCCAACCAAACTCGAGCGCTGCACTAACTTCGATCATCATCATAATATTATATTAGAGAAATGGGACAACTGTTTCAAAAAATTAAGTAAAAAATAGCAGTCATTCCGTGGAAAGGAAGATGGCGTGAGACTGTAGACCGTTATCCATTTCCAGAAACAAAACTGACTCAATGCGATGAATTTGGCTGGAAATGATCGAGATTTTTTACCTTGGACTGCTGTCTTCCCAGTGGACTTAACGACGTCTCTGCCTGTCTCATCCGCGTTTAATGAACGTCGCGAAGACTTTGGCGGGGGGGGGGGGTGATAGGAAAGAAAGGTTATAACGGAACTGTAATTCCACTTTCCACTAAACAAAAACATATGTGCATATAGTTTAAAGTGTTACTGAGCAATATCACAAATACTTTGCACAGCAGTCTGTATCAATTTGTCTTAACTTAATCATATTTTTCCACAACAATTGAAGCTAGGTTATAAAAGTTTTATTCATAAATTTATATAAAATATCATAAATCTCCACCACGTGGAAAATGGGATTGTTCAAAGCTCTTCCCACTTCTCATGCACATTTTGCATACGCCTGTGTCACTGTTCATCAATGACACTTTTCAGTGGCAAAACTTGTTACAAAAAATTAATTTTATAGCGAACACTTTTTTGCACCACAGTAGGTTCTCAAAAACGTGCATTCAATATGCATAATGCTGTGAGCAGAAAAAAATTATGGACTTGCTTTTAAAAGCGATACAGGTATAAACTTATTTAATCTGTAGAAACCACTCACTGGGATTTTTAATTAGTATTTATTACGGAATTTTCTAGAATACAGCTAACTGGTGTTTACAAAAATACTGATCTGTTAAGAGAAATTGATACAAGTCATTGTGAAAAAGCTGGAGACTTAAGGTACGATAGTTGAGGAAATATTTGACAACGAGTTGCGCCATGAATTTTTGACCGCACTGCAGTTGGCGCATCCAATCAGAGCAAAACAAATCAGCAGTTTTGTCTACACCACACTGTCAAAGTGGTTTTTGTTTCCGGTACTCCTGCAGCAATGTGAAAAGGAAAAAGTCCAAAGGAGAAAAGCTCGATTGTATGACAGATGCAGCAGGGTAGAGAAATCTGACACCTGTGGGAGTGTGCATTGTCATTCTGCAGTATTTTATCGTTCCCTTGCAAACTCATCTCAGCCTAGCTTACAGGTTAAGCTGCAATATATTGTTGTGAGTTCACTGTCTTCCCCTGTGCCAGGAACTTCATGTGGACAATGCCTTTCCATTCCAGAAAATGATAAGCTGCCTTTTTCTCTGTGGCCTACAAAAAAACATTTGATTGTTCAATTTTTTCAGCCGAATCTTCTCTATTCAAAGATCTTGCTCCTTGTCTAATAGACGTAACATCAACACAAACCTAACCATAAATAAATATCATGCTTTCATTACTGTCCACAGCTGAACAGCATTCAGCAATAAGAAATTCAATCACTGCATGTTGCTTTCAGTCAGCTCTCTGAAGGTCGCCATTTTAGTCCTGACTGTCGCACAATGTGAGACAACATGCAATTTTGAGGACAAACAACATTCTGAAGAACTGCAATTTTTGTGGAGGTAGTCAAACAGTCATATGACACCTGTAGCAATTTTCCATTATACAAAGAATAAGTAAAAAAGTACGGCTTAAGCGGTATTATTTTTCACCAAAGTGAAAGCCTTCGAGTTGACGGGCGGTTATAAAAAACAGAACAAGACAGACTCATGTATCTGCATTGTTGACACTAAAGCAACCAACAACATTAAAAAACAGAGTGGTCTTTGCTCGAGTTCTGATCCAGAAACAGAGATGTTTTTGCAGCATTCAGTGACTTTCTAAAATTAAAAAAATTGTAAAAGTGTGCCTTTTCAACACTGTAAGGTAATTTATGAGGCCAGGCCTCTAAATTTAATGTCTAATGTCGGTCTCCAGTAGAACCAAATCAATGGGTAGAGAGTCTCAACACTTTGCCATCATCTTTTGGGGAAAATCCAAAGAAACTGGAAGGTAAACATCGCTAATCGGCGAGATAAGGTGGCAAAGGGTTAAAAACTAAAGCTCCCCAAAACAGCCCAAGTTCAGAATGCCCCCTCGGGAATTCAAACCAGGGGCATCCACTGTGAGAGTAGTTAAGCATGATACTAACTGAAGCGAATGGAACAGTCTCCTTACCTTCTCTCAGCCTTATGAAGGACAAGCACTACAATGCAGGCCAGAGCAATCAGCAGGAAGACGGTTACCCCGACGACCACCTTGGGCACGCTATCCTTCGAGTCTGAGCCGGATGCCTTGCTGCCCATGCCACTGCCAGCTGATGGCTTGATCACCGACCTGTGGGAGGAGGAAATGTCCAGTAAAAATGGGTTTGGATCCGAATATTATAAGCGTCATCACAAGGTGGAATCAGGAGCTTGTCAATATTGGGTCATGTGGAGTTATTGGTATCATCTGAAAGTTTGTTTGTTTGCCTTCTTTTAATGAAAAAAATACCCATCTATCTTGAAAAAAATTTGACATACTTGCGATTACAGGAGGTGGGGGTCGCCTGGTTTCAGAGGGAAAATTACCAAGAAAATGGCTGCCAAAGTTTGATAACTTCATAGCTCGAGTCTTTGAAAACGGAAAATGTACGTATTTTGTGCCTCTAATCAACATTTTTCAGTAAACTTCATAAGGAAGTGTGCTTTTATACAGACATAAAAGGTATAAAGACAAACAAACAAAAATTGATAAAAATTGCCAATTTGGCAAAAATATGTCAGATCCTTTGATTTCATTATTTTCACGAGCGCCTGGTTTCACCACAATGCCTCACATATTGAAATTGTCCAAGACGACCACCCATTGTCAAGGAGAAAAGTGTTCGTCTTGGATAGGTGGACATCTTGAGCCATATATCAAAATACAAATGAGGGGATAAGTGGGAACTGGTCATTTGTACAAGTGATTGTTTCAGACAGGTGGTCATATGACAGGCTGACTGTGTGCGTCACAGGTTCCCTTACGTGCAGTGCTTCCAACAGCTGAAGCTGAAAAGTAAGGAAAATTCTGCCGGGGGTCTGGGGGCCGCACAGGCCCCTATCAGCGTCCCGGTGGGGGTTGAGGCGGCGAAGCCCCCGAAGAAATTGAAATTTAGTGCATTTAGAGGGTTGAAAATGGCATTTGGGAGCCTGTTTGAAGAGATTGCCTGCAAACCATAACATTTATTTTTTCACCTACATTTTGTCTTGATTTCTTCACCCAGATCTAGATCTTGATCTACATAATATATTTTCATTGATGGTAATGTTTAAAAGCAGGTTCCCTTTCCATTGCTACTATAATTCAATTAATTTGTCATCGCACAATTGATAGAAAGCAAACCTGGGAATAAGGAATAGATATGTACCTTCACAATACAGAGTTACCCGACGTATACCCTAATTTTTTTTTAATTTCACGCCTGAAAGTCGCATCACAACCTCGGAACACTTCGTATTATTCTCGATTTTAGTAGTTTTAGCATAAATTTCTTTCATTGCGGCCCTTATCGTGTTCCTGTGCCGTAGAATCTTCGTATTGATCATTTCTCTAGATCTAGAAAAAATTTGTAAAAAGTTTCTTTCGGACAGTAATTTTCTGTCTAAGAGCACAAGCCAATTTATTTGATCAACGCGCAAATTTTCAGCCGCTGCAACAATCCGACGATAGACAGAAAGAATGAGTGAATGATAGAAAGGAGGAAATTGGCACAAAAAGTTCGCCAGATTTTGATCAATCCACAGGTAAAATGCACTGCCGACAAGCCCGCAATGAATGCATGGGGCACAGCGGAATAATGGCCGATGGAAGGAAATGCGCAACCTGGCAGGTTTCTATAACATTAACTTATTGCAGAGAGAATTACCGTAAATATCCGTACCGTAACTTATAGTAGTACTAGACAATACGAAGGCGAGTACGGATCTTTAGCTACAGAATTTCGGTAGTCCTACGTTGTAGCACCTTTTTACGGAGGGAGTTGATAATGATGGAGGAACAAGTACGGAACTGGCAGAAAGTACGGATTTCCGTAAAAATACGGAAGAGTGGAAGCACTGTATGTGGTTATCTCTCTCTCTTTCTTCAGGCGCTGTGGCGTCATAAACGGTCAGCGATGACAACAGCACGCAGGAACTCAACACTTGCCCAGGGGTCCTTAAAAAGTGCTGAAAGTGGGTTACTGAAATGTCCCAGCAGACGGGTTCTTGCACAATAGTTGGCGGGACATTTCAGGAACACAAGGTCCATAGTTTCGTCCTCCTCCTTGCAGGCTTGACAGGACAGATCTGGGTTGTCCGCTGGCGCCATTTTGTGGAGATATGATCTCAGCCAGGGCGATTTTCCACCAGTTCTCATTTGGGAGAGAAGCCGAAGCCGGCGGTCCTGCCGTCTGAGCGAGGCCTCAAGCTGGTATGATGGCGGCTGGGCAAATGGCAGTTTGGGTTTCGCCTCTCTCTTCCACTTTGCGCAGGTCGACCGGTGGATAACGGCTTATGTGGTAATGGGGGCAGCATACTGGTAGATGTCTTTGTTGGGTTTGTAGATCTGTGCATCTGTGTGTGTGCGTGTGCACGTCCGCACATGTCTGAGGGTGGGTAAATGTTTATGTGTTTGTGTGTGTATGTGTGTGTGTGTTCGAGTGTATGTTTTTGTGTGTGTGGAAGGGTGTGTGTGTGTGTGTGTGCATGTTTGTCAGTGTGCATGTGTGTGCAGGTGTGTATGTGTGTGCATGTTTGTCAGTGTGTGTGTGTGTGTGTGTGTGTGTGTGTGTGTGTATGCGCGCGCGCACGTAAGTGTTTGTGCATGTATGTGTATGACCAAAGGTTCCCTGAGGTACTTACGGAGCGGCATGCAGGCAGACAAGACTGGTGTCCCAGTTGAAAATGTAGCCACAGTCCTGGGCTTGATACAAGAACTCCGGCTCCGTCTGGCAAAGGAGAGCAAAACAAAACAAAAAAAATTTCTTACACTGAGCTGAACCTAAGACCGTACTCCCAACAACACAAACATTTAGATCATTAACTCTTTAAACCCTGAGTTTTTTTCCACCATTTTCTGTAGTTTTTTCTAGTCACCTAAACCTGGTGCACTACATCTCACTATAACTCCAAAAGCTTGCCTTCAACTTTTATATTAAGGAATCAAAGGCTCAGCGTTACTAAAAAAACTTGGATCGTCAATAGTTTGGAAAAACAAGCAAAAACTAGCACTAAAAGAAACGAAACAGTTGTCACTAGTATTGGACGCCTCCAACGTCCGATGGAGAACAGGGTTTAAAGAGTTAAATTATGCAAAAATGGAAGCAAATACAGGCTTGCCAACATTTTCAAAACCCAATCAGAGACACCAAGGTTACAATGTTAGAAGACACAACAATGAACACAATCACATAATGTGGGCTGGTTTCGGGGTGGTGTATGCGACAAGGCCCTCAAATTCCCGATTGCCAAATCCAAAAAAAGTCACGAGAAATTTGGGGCAGTAGGCAAGCCTGCAAGTGTAAAAATTAGTCATGTTGCTGTGTGAGTGTGTGCATGAGTGTGTGTGTGTGTGTGTGTGTGTGTGTGTGTGTGTGTGTGAGAGAGAGAGAGAGAGAGAGAGAGAGAGAGAGAGAGAGAGAGAGAGAGAGAAAGAGAGAGAGAGAGAGAGAGAGTGAACTTCTGTATGCGTGGGTGAGAGTATGAAAGGGATATGTGTATATGTGAGTGTGCACAAATGTGTGTGTGTGTGCATATGAGTATGTAGTATTTGTACAATCTACACAAAAATCTCTGAAGAAGACAAGAGCCTTCATGCATGAAATGTCAAATGAGAAATTCTTTTCATGACATTTCTGAAAAGCTCCAATCCAAAATAAGGGTTGGTATCGAGCAAGATAAACAGGCAGAAACCAAAGATGGAAAGAAAGAAAAGAGGTAGGAAGAAAAGGAAGGTAGGACTTACAAGTGGTGTCCTCCAACGACCCACTTAGTTTTTTAAAAAAAGGTTCTGTATAGCAGAACTAAACTAATTTCTTGTGAATAGACTTGGAAAACTAAGAACACAACACACACGACTGATTCAACACATGTACAGATGTTTTAAACGAGTACAATCACTAAAATGCCAGTACAAAGAGGAGGACCAAAATGTGGAAAACATCCTTCAGCACTGCAAGACACACAGGGCCCCGAGACAGGAAATGTGGCCAACCCCATTAACACTACAAGAGAAGCTGTAGGGGTCGACAGATGAACTGAGCAGGATGGCCCAGTAAATGACAGATACCAGACTTCAAATGCGATGCGATCGAGAAAAAGAAGCAGAAGACTTGGAAGGTTTATTAATCAGATCTTACTTGAGCTTTGTCGCTGATACAGTTGAAGATGATGGTGGTGGTGACGTGGCTGCTGCTTTGGTTGCCTGGGCACTTCTCCGGGGCGGTAAACTCAACCTCCAGACGCTCATCTGGGAACGGGGAGGAGGAAGATATAAACGTGGTCCTACATCCTCTAATCTTCAGCATATATTGGTCGCTTTTAAGGACAAGCGGGCTAACCCAGATTTTAGAAATCTTGACCTACACCAAAAGTGGGCATTGCCCTGAGGAAGACAGAGTCTTCATGCATGAAATGACAAATGAGGGAGTTTGGTTTCATTGGTCTGTATATTTGTTTGGTTATAGAGAAAACTCTCCTTGTCTTTTAACACTTTTTATCCGGGCTACGAGTATACTCGTAACGAGGACCAGTCCGGGCTACGAGTATACTCGGAACAGCTATACGGTCCCGTCAAAGAAGCTAGTTCTGCTTATAATTACCAAAATACGCAAATACGGCGATGCTAGCTCTGTCTGAATATTTTAATTTTCCAATGAACAGTAGTTTCTTTGTTTTTGATGGGTGTAGAAGCTTGAAAGATGTCTCGAAAACACACATTCACAACCGACGAAGTTCCTTTTGAAGTGGCGCTAGGTTGTGAGGGGGAATGATACTAATTTGATGAAAATGACTCTGAAAGAAGAGCCGTAAATTCCGTTGTGGATGATAAGAAACAGGACTTAGACTCATCTAATAGCGATTCAGATCATGGTGAAGGGGTCAGCTGGAATTCGTGCTCGATGGGTAGGGCTAGATCTAGATCTATAAAATCCAATGGGACGTCGTGGGCGCTGCAATCAGGGTCAAGTTCGAAGGTGGAATACACCTCAAAATCTACATTGTGCTATTGGTGTATTTCCTAACCACATACATTTACAAAAACTACATTCAATTTCTAACATAACTGCCAAATTTCCTTAAAACCTTAGAGTAAACGTAAGAAATATAGCACTTTGAACTATACGCACTGACTTCCGACTCATACGGCGAGGCGGCCCCAGGACTGGTACTGAGTCCGTGGCGGTACGGCTAGGATAAAAAAAGTTAAAGAAACTGAACAACGGTCCAAAAACTTTACCTTCGATTTTCCTAAAACGGCATTTTTTTGGGATACCACCTTGTGCTTAAAAGCGACCATATGACCTAATTGTGTTTAAGTGCCATGAAACGCTAACTAAAACTAAAAAAGGAAGTACATATAGAGTCTAATATACTATATCTTACTTTAACACTTACAGTACCTTCAGTGAATTTAGTCGCCAGGCCGTAGAATGAGCTAACTACACATAATTAAACAAAGAATGGACGCACTGCACTGAAGTAAATACCAAACGAAGTCACTCTATATGATAGCTGAATGGTCGATGAACCTCTCTGAATTTCTAAAGTGCATTTCTTGGGCTGCCATGGTTTCTCTAATTTAAAAAAAATTCCACCACAGTTTCAACATTCTAAACTGGTGCGGTACCCAAGGGTTTTTCACTATATGAGCCTTCGGTACTGTAAGTGTTCATGCTCACAACTATTCCATTTCTTCGTCATTCAGCCTGCCTCTTTTTATCTCCCTCCTGCCCCCCCCAAAACCCATCCCATCTTCCTCTCTCTCCAATATACTTAAGGTAATGACAATGACCTACCTAGCAGAAAGTATGTCAAGCTCTTGAAACTGCCCAAGTTGCGGGCTGCTGACTGGCCGTTGGTGATATCACAGACAGCAGCGCTGTCACAGGCCCAGTGTGTGAGTTGTGAGGAAGTCGAGTCTGGTTGAACCGGACCTGACAGGCTGATCAGATACTTCTTGTTGTGAACCTGCACTGTGTGGGCCCTGTACAAAAAGAAATTGTACATATATGTACACAGAGAAATCATAAATCTGCACATATAGGAAATTGACATATCCATGTACACAAAGAAATTGTACATCTGTACATACAAGAAATTAACATATCAGTACACATCTGAACATACAGGAAATAAACATATTTGGGGCGCTCGTCAAAATAATGAAAGTCAAGAAATTGGTATTTTCCTGCAGGTTTGGGAATTTTTATAGAACTTTTGTTTTTTGGTTCAACACCTTTCAGGCCGATTAAAGAGCACATTTCTGAGTGGATTTTACTGAAAAACGTTGAGTAAAAGCAGAAGAAATATAAATTTTCACATTCCAAGGACTCTCAAGCTAAAGAAATAACTCAACTTTGGAGGCTCATTTTACCTCTGAAACCAGATGACCCTTCAATCACACATATCTCGACTTCTATTCAACATAGATGGATATTATTTTCACCAAAAGCAAGAAAATGGATAGGCCTTAAGATGATACATCAACTCCGTATGCCCCCAAAATTGACGAGAGCCAGATTCCCCCATGTCGTGCCACATGTAAGCGCACAGAAATTAAAAATACAGTGACTGCTCAGTGGTAAGACTGTCATACACATCACTTTTCAAAATCGCAAAGTCTCACACAAAGCAGACGGTCTGTACAAGCAAGAAAATGACATAAATGGTAGGAAAATTTGGGGTCTGTCAAATTTCTGCTCGTTTCTGCATAGAGTAAATAAAGGGGCATCAACACAATATCGGTGACTTCGTGCAGGGAAAAAGCAAGACTGATAGACAGAAACAACAGGGAGGGGGGGGGGGTATAGAGCCTACCAGTGTCGCTCTTCAGCCACTGGTGCTCTAGAGTTGAAGAAAAAAAGTCTATTGGAAAGGACCTACCAGTGGTGCCCTCCACCCACCAACATTAGATTCCTGCACAGTCTGTCTTATGAGCATAACTCTGACAGCAACTAATATCATACATACAGTCAGGGAAGGACTTCAAGGTTTTGTTTCAGATACGTGTATGATATATGTTCTATGCCACTCTCAATACAAGGTTATTAGCTCTTTGTATTCCGAGGGTTTTATTCCGCCTTTGTTTGCTTTAGTACGTGTTTTACGGCACTTGCAACACAATAAGTTAATATCAGTGCCGAAGATTGGAGGTGCTACAAGAGAGTAACAATCACAAAAAAGAAGGAGCAGAGATGAGGAAGATAGACGTTTGATAGGAAAGAAGAAGCAAACCACACCAGAGCACCCGAAAACCACCCACTATTCCACCTTTGGAAAACAGCCAATTTTGTTATCCACTTTTTCAGCACCACTCTTGTATAACCCATTTGCGCAACATAAACACAAAACTGAAAAGAAATGAATGATTCTTGCAATGAACACACAGTCTGACTGTAGTGCTGGGCTTTTATACTTTTTTGTTATGGCTGTAAAAAATAAGAGTGATGCTGTGTGCCAGCAGAACTGGCTTGCCGTAAAGTAGGAGTTACAGAGGCAGGACTTTGTGAAAAAAAATAATATTCATCCCTGAAAAGACCCAGCCAAGTACGAGACCAAGATGTCAAATGAGCATGCACAACTCGAAGGTGAAAAGAAAAGGACAGGTCATTTAGGAAAAGTAAGTAACAGACAGTCCAATAATGATGCTTTTGTCTGTCTAAACAACATTTTTCAGCATCTCAGCTGTACATTAAAAATTTAAGGCACCTGTCATTCAGACACTGTTAAATAACATTGCACAATTAGGAACACCTTTAACCCTTTACCGGAAATAACTTTTTTTTAGAACTTATTATGTTGCTAATAGTTAATCACCTAATATCCGATGAGTTAACTCTTGGGTTATTTGTCAAGTCTTTCACAACATTTTTGCACTAAGAGAATAGAGAAACAAAGGCAGAGTTGTGGATTCTTGTAAAACTAGCATAAAAAAATATTTGATATTGATGTCCGACCCAAAAATATTCTATCTTATGACCATGTAAAAACAAGTTGTAGTTCTGCCCACAATATCTTACTTATCACTGTTGAGGAGAGGACGAAGGTCAATGGTTCTGCCTGTTCTCTTGTCAAGGATCTGTCCATCTTTCATGTCAGCTTTGACAGGAGCTCTGCAACATAGACAACAGACCATGAGCTAGAGAGAGAGATAGATAGAGAGAAAAAGAGAGAGAGTGTGTATGTGAAAGAGAGAGACAGAGAGAGAGTGTGTGTATGTGTGTGTGTGTGTGTGAGAGAGAGAGAGAGAGAGAGAGAGAGAGAGAGAGACTGAGAGACAGACAGACAGACAGACAGACAGAGAGACAGACAAAGAGACAGAGAGATTGTTTGTTTGTTTAGTATAGGGTTTTACGGCGCTCGCAACTGCATAAGGTCATATGAGCGCGCGGGACACACCTAATACTTTTCCGCTGGTAGGAAATTTTGAATTTTGCCCGGGTGGCGGCCGAAGCCTACTCTTATCGATTTTAGACCACCAAGGGATCTTTAACGTGCGCAACTTGCACACAGGCCCTCCGAGATTTTTCGCCCTTGTCCGAGAAGGCTAGGTGTAGATCTTTCCTACCAGAAGATCAGGGGTGTGGCAGAAAGACAGCAGTTAGGAGGAGCCAAGGAGTAGCAGTAGAAAGGCTGCAGAAAGAGTCAGGAGCCCAGAGGAGGGGGCAAAGGAGGTGAGGGGGTGGGGGCAGAAAGTGGAAATGAAAGCAGACAACAGAACATTGTTAGACATCAGGAAAGGATGTGAAAGGAGACAATTTTAGAGAAGAAAATTTGTTGGTCGCTACCCGGAATCGAACCCGGGACCTTTGAATGAGAGGCCAACACCTTAACCTCTAGGCCACGAGAGCCCCCAGACAGAGAGAGAGAGAGAGAGAGAGAGAGAGAGAGAGAGAGAGAGAGAGAGAGAGAGAGAGAGAGAGAGAGAGAGAGATCGAGAGAGAGAGAGAGAGCAATTTAGTTTACTACCACTCCACAAAAATGATCACAATTTGCAACACAACCAATCTGGACAAAAGATTAATTAACCCTATTCATACGCAATGTTTTACTATCGTATCCATACGATGTGGGGAACTCTGTGCTACCACTTTCCAAAGAGGAAATTTACTAGTTAATCCCATCCGTACGCTTTGCATAACAGTCTGTCATAATGATTTTTTTGAGAAATACTGAGAGGAAATTTACTAGTTAATCCCATCCGTACGCTTTGCATAACAGTCTGTCATAATGATTTTTTTGAGAAATACTGAAAGTTTCAAAGAGATCTCCGTACTAGAAGTATTCTAAAATGTGATGAATACAACCCCTGGAGTACAAAATGACCCCAGGGGGCGAACGGATACGGTTAATCATCTCTGACTGTTTTGTAATTTAATTGACACAATTAAGATCATCAAGGAGAAGGCTACAGTCAGGGCTAACATGTACTGAGTTGGGTAAAGTATCCAAGCCGACAGGTTCAGATACTTTTTATCTTTTTTTTTTTTGTCCTGTGTCCTGATTTGATGCCAAATATTGGTAAGTTATGAATAAAATCATCTAAAGTGGTAGTTACCGTAGGAGTTAAATTGTTCAGCACAACAAAAAGGGATACTGGTTTATTTTTCTGAAGACAACAATTTGCAGATTGAGATATTTGATAAATGAATATCAGAACATCTGCACACAAGAATCAAACCGAAGTCTTTTGCATGCACAGTTAACTTAGCTGAAAAGTGCACAGACCACATTCAAGAGAAAATACGCTAAATATACATGATTGACAATTAATATTATTATTTTGAGCCACTTAAATTCTGTTTCACTTAATTAAGAAATATTCTCCTCTGCAGATGCATTGGTCCTCGTCAGACATTGGCGGACAATCTATTATCATTACACTGAGATCTGGCGAGTTACTTACGTTTCTGTAGGACAGGCTAGCCTTGACGCCCAGGTGAATTCAAAGATGCACTTCGCAGCATTGTCAACTCTAGGGGGAAAAAAAACAATGATAAATACTGAAATGTTACAGTTGACCAACTGGTTTCTGTTGGGAAGCTTGGGAGGGGGGGGGGGGGGGATGACAAAACAGGCAAATAGTCATAAAAGCTAATGGTTGGGTTTTTAAAAAATACATCGACAAAAACATCAAGTTTATTGTTAACTTTCTGGTGCATGTTGCAAAATCAAGAGGAAAAATAACAAGGGAAGTAAAAATTTCTCGCTGTGTAGACTGTCAAGTTCACCGACAAAACAGAAGAAAGAATACCACTGAGCTGGGGACAACTCTTTCTTCCGACTTCTTTGAACAAAATACTCCCATCCCCTAATTCCTTTCTCCAACTCAAACACAGATCAATTGAGAAATTCCATGAAACAGAAGCATGCATTTCCACAACCATCACCTCCTCCATTCCTTTCCCCAACACCTTCTCCCCCCCCCCCCCCCCCCATTCCTTTCCCCAACACCTTACTTCCTTACAGCCCCTAACATGATGTTCGGGGGCTCCAGTGGCTGAGTGAGCGGTGAGTTCAGACTCAAGTAATGTCAAGCAAGTGTTGGGGACACAGGGTTTAGGTGGGTGGTCACTGGGGTGTGTCCTTCAGCAAGACACGACAATGCTAGCTCAAAAAACAGGGCTCTGTACAGTGGCGACCGGCAATGGCATGGTTGTGTGTGTGTGTGTTTGTGTGTGTGTGTGTGTGTGTGTGTGTGTGTGTGTGTGTGTGTGTGTGAGCCATTGAAAACCAAATTGCCCTTCTGGGATCAATAAAAGTGTAATTTATATTTTCTTTATTTTATGATGTCTGGATGTTCACCTGTGCTCCAAGTAGACCGGTGCACCCACTGTCTGGCCACAGGTCAGTCTGATGATGACTTTGGGAGACAGATCGCTGCGTCTGCGTCTACCAGCCTGGCATGCGACTGCATCGCCCTCGGAGTACCCCACCACTACAGTGCTGTTGCTGCTTCCACTGTTCTTCTCCACTGGAAACCAAAAACAGTAAACAAGTCTTCTTTTATAAGAGTTTTTTGTTGTGTTTTTTTTGGTAAGTGTTTTATGGCATTCGCAACTGCATAAGGTCATATGAACGCGCTGGACATACTAAACATTTTCAGTTGGTAAGAAATTTTGAATTTCGCTCGGGTGGCGGCCGAAGCCTACTCTCATTGATTTTAGACCACCAAGGATCTTTTATCATAATAATAACTTGCACACAAGTTCTCTGAGATTTTTTGACCTCGTCCGAGAAGGCTAGGTGTAGATCTTCCCTACCAGAAGATCAGGGGTGTGGCTGAAAGACAGCAGTAAGAAAAGCCAAGGAGTAGCAGTAGGAAGGCTGCAGAAAGAGTCAGAAGCCCAGAGGAGGGGGCAAAGGAGGTGAGGAGGTGAGGGCAGAAAGGGGAGATGATAGAACATAGCTAGAGAGCAGGAAAGGAGGTGAAAGGAGACAATTTTAGAACAAAAAATGTTTCAGTCGCTACCCGGATTCGAACCCGCGGGCTTTTGAATGAGAGGTGAACACCTTAGCCTCTAGGCCACAAGAGTCCCCAGTTAGAGTTTTTAGCCACTTGAAACACATTTAGGTCATATAAGTGCCGAATATTAGAGGCGTTACAACAGAGTAACAAACAGTTAAATAAAAGGAGGAGAGATAAGGATGCTAGATGTTTGATAGGAAAGAAGGTGCAAACCAGACCAGAGTACCCGCCAACTACCTACAAACAGTTAACAATGAAATCTAACAACACATTAGCACACCAACATTGTGCACATAAAATAAGAGCCGCTTTTTTTTCCATCTTAATAGACATATCTTGTCAACACCCCCCCCCACCAAAAAGCAACAAATAACAAAAACAAAAAATCCTTCCCAAAAACTTCAAATGATGAAACAACAAATAAAGCATTCATAAACAATCAGTATTTACTTAAGAAGTATTCCTTTTCTAACATTGTCTAACACAACCTTAGTCTTTCATCTCATATACACCATCAAAAGCACATTTAATTTGGAGAGAGCTTCCATTAGGGATTAATTGTGATTCTGTAACATGGTGCGAGGAGGAGGGGGAGGGGGAGGAGGAGAAGAAGAAAAGGGAGAAGAAAAGGGAGAAGAAAAAGAAAAAAAGACACAGCGCTTTGCTTTAAGGTATGTAAAGTCATCACCATCCTCCTTTCTCAGCCCATGCCGGAGTATTGGCCACAAACAAAAGCTCTCCATGTACTTCTGTCCTAAGCTATAGCAATAAAAGTCGACATACACAATTTACCATGAACCCATAAGGAACACAGCTTACCAAACATGACTTGTGTCTCCAGTTTGCCTAAAGTGTGCACCATCCCGGTTTTTGTCTTCATGCACACAGCTGCACCGGGGGAACATCCCTGGCTCTCTGGCTGGCCGTGAAGAGGCTGACAAAGATTCATCCAATACCTGTGCAGAAGTCATTAGAGTAATGGTGAAAAGAAGGCAGCACATTTTGTTTTATGTTTTAGTAGCCTTTTATTTTGTAATACAATTAGCTTATATAAGTGGCGAAGATAAGAGGAAACACAAAAAAGAAGGAGGAGAGAGATAAGACAACATATGTTTGGTAGGAAAGGAGGAGCAAACCACACCAGAGCATTTGTCAAACCACCCACAAAGTGCCACACTGGACAACGTGACGGAACAAAATATTATTACCATACTATCCAATAAATAATAGTTTCAAAATGTGGGAACATGAGGATTACAATAGTGTCATGATACAGTGGAACCAGGCGCTTGTTAATTTTTGGGCGTGTTTGGGAGTTATTGGTATCAGCTAAAAGATTGTTCATCAGTCTTGCTTTTTTTGGGGTTTTTTTTGGTAAGTGTTTTAAGGCGCTCGCAACTGCACAAGGTCATATGAGCGCGCCAGACACATTAAACATTTTTAGTTGGTAGGAAATTCTGAATTTTGCCTGGGTGGCGGCCGAACCCTACTCTTATTGATTTTAAACCACCAAGGAATCTTTAACATGAGCAACTAGCACACAGGACCTCTGAGATTTTTTGCCCTTGTCCAAGAAGGCTAGGTGTAGATATTTCCTACCACAAGATCAGGGTTTTGGCTGAAAGACAGCAGTAAGAAGGAGCCAAGGAGTAGCAGTAGAAAGGCTGCAGAAAGAGTCAGGAGCCCAGAAAGGGGCAAAGGAGGCGAGGGGGTGGGGGCAGAAAGTGGAGAGCAAGCAGATGACAGAACATTGCTAGAGAGCAGGAAAGAAGCTGAAACGAGAAAATTTTAAAAAAGAAAATTTTTCCGTCGCTACCCAGATTCGAACCCGGGTCCTTTGAATGAGAGGCCAACACCTTACCCTCTAGGCCATGAGAGCCCCTATGTCTTGCTTTAAATGAAAAAAATATCTATCTGTCTTAAATAGAAGTCGAGATATTTGCAATAGAAGGAGACGGAGTTGCCTGGTCCCAGTGAAAAAATTAGCGAGAAAATGGCTGCCAAAGTATGAGAATCCTTGGAAACTGAAAATATACATTTTTGGGGCCTTTCAGCAATGTTATTTTAAGTAATATCCACATAGAAATATGTTTTTAATTGGACAAAACAGGTGATGAGCTAAAAAAAACCCAAACAAATTTGATAAAAATTGCAAAACTGGTGAAAAAATATTTTTTTCTTCGATTTCTTTTTTTTGGACTAGAGCCTGATTTCACCAAGATGCCTCACAATTATATTCTTCTTTTGTGAAGATCACAAGTTCATAAAAAGTAAAAGTTCTTTGGGAACTTGAGAAATACAACTATCCTTGTGAAGACCACATGTTCATAAAAACCTAAAAGGACTTTGATTTTTCATTAATAACAGAAAAATAGCCCATGACTCAGCAAACACAGAGTAAGGACTTTCTTCTCTTATTGAACTAACAACCTGCATTACAGCACTAAAACAATGAAAGCATAAGGATGAAAGCAAACACACACACACACACACACACTCACAAGGGTAAATTTCATGCGTTTGCGAGTCTTAGTGCAAACTGGGCTTTTGTAACACTCAAGGCGAAGAAATTTCCGCTAGATCGAGGATACAACAACCTTGACTGGCAGCCACCTCTGCTAAAAAATCTCCTTCTACTCCAAATGACTTGCAAAGAGCACAAAATAAACCCGCACAAAAGTCCAGGAGCGATCAAGAAGAAAGACCACACAGGCAAGGAGTGAACGTAAAATGCAATCCTCCCTCTAAAGCACCCACTAGAGTCGACTTACACATTGCCCTGACTGTCTGTGTAGTTCCAGCTGCCCGTGTCCTGGGACAGGAAGCTCAGGTCAAACAGTGATCCCCTGCTCCCCACCACACACTTCTTTCTGATTGGTGGACACACCAGGCTGGTTGGCCAGCGTAAGGCCACCTCACACTCTTTGTCCTGCCGGAGGAAGACGTGGGGAAGGGGAATGAAAAAATTATTGAGCCTTCAGTCTTGTTTTTAAAAATTTGTTTTAATAGAGGTTTTTAACGACGCTCGCGACTGCATGAGGTCATAAGTACGTCAAGGGGAGGATGCCAACAGAGAAGTCCAAACAGGGAATCTGGCTTACTCTGCTCACCTCACTAGCCTCAACAGCACAAAGTCTACTTCGACTATCAAGGCACCCCGGAAAAAGCAGTTCACAAGAGTGACAAACATACAAAAGAAGTAGAGGAAAAATTACAATAGTAAGGATGAGGAAAGAAAAAGCAGCAGTTCCCCCTATGTTGTTCGTGTACAGTATGAGCATGACATTGATAAATCAGCCCATTTACAATTCTACTGTGAATAAGAACATGTTAATATCCCCCTTTTGGGAATGGCCTTAAGACACTTCAGTCAGTTGCAGTGCCCGGGGGGGACGGTGGGGCGCCCTAAGTCTACCACAGGAAGATATGGTAAAGTAGAATGAACACTGAGACGTTTGTCTACCAGAGGAAGAATATGGCATCAGCAAAAACTAAAATTTTTCTATGACCATCAATACATAACAATGAAGGACAGCACTTTTTCACATAAGTATAATTTGCTATATGTTTGATTTTTACAAGATGCATCATTTAATTCATCATATGTGTGGCCGTCTGGGATAACCCGTCGGAAGTCGCTGGCTCTAGTCTTGAGCTATGTGCTTCCAAAGTCAAATTTCATCATTTTGGTCGAATTTGAGATATTATCATGATTGGTTTCTTCATTCATTTATCTTTCATTTTCTTTTAATCTTATTCTTTAAATCAGTTTAGAAATGTATTTTCAAAGTGTAATTTGAAGTCCCCCTAATTAAGGTTTTCAGCACCGATGAGGAAAAATAGCACCTGATTTTGTCTGTCAAACCCCCGATTCCATTACGCGATTTGAACACGCTCATAATGTAAAACTAGGTCGTGCCTCATACCAAAACAAAGGTCTTTCTTTCTACTTTTTAACTATGACGTTTGCGCATAAATACGTGACATGTACAAGTAGTGCGCATCCAATTTACACAGGTGACCTGTGGTATTCCGCATCTCGTTGAAAAGTCCGACATTCTGAGGCAAATACTGCCATCAAAAACCCGTTTTGCTCACTTTAATTGATGCAAAACTTATAACTTTATATTTAGAAAATGATAATTATATAGTTTATCTTAGTTTTATCAAGTTTATTCATAGACAAAGAAACTTCTCTCCCAACCGCGCGAGTTTTGTTTCACTCATCACACTTCATGCAGTTGATGAACGTTCAGGATGGCGAGCTCCGTGTTTAGCACCGATGATGAGATTGCAAAGCTTTTAAATTTAAATCGAGCCGATTCAGAAGCATACCATGAAGTTGTGGATTCATATTTTGGATCAAGAGATGACGATGAGGATGATTTATCAAGTGGTGATGAGGAATCTAATTCTGGTAAGTGGGAACTTAGATCTGGTTGTTGTTTCGATACAAACATAAGTTAGGGTTACTCTCTGTTGAATTTCTGCTTTGTTGATTCAAATTTATAGGAAAGGTGAATAGAAATTATGTTTTTATTGTTTACAAATCCACATATCTAGATCTGCATCAGAATAGGCCTAGACCTAGACCTTGATCCAGATCTAAATCATAGATCTAGATCTAGATCTAGATCTAGATCTAGAGGCAGATCTGATCTAAGATCTAGATCTAGATCTAGTCTAGTTCTAGATCTAGTGTCTAGATCTAGCACTAAACTTTAGATTCCTTGTCTTCAGATGTTATACTCTATCTATTTAAATTAATTATTGGTTTGTATATTCATTTATCTTGTTTTGTTGATAAAATAGTCGAGCAGTCTCTTGTAAATCGGAGACTGTCGTTGCTCATCAATGATTCGATAACACGACACAACAGCAATAAAAACACTTCGCAATACATAGAAATCTAGATCTAGATATCTAGCTAACCGTACATGGTGAAACAGTTTCATTAATTTATCTTTTTGTTTGGTTGTAATTCAATTTTAAAATGCACGCCGTCTTTGTTTTCAACAAGTAAGCTATAACTTATAACATAGATTCTATATTCATCACGTCAAGTGAAATTCAAATGATGCCAGGCAGAATGCACCACTGTAAGTGATTCAACCTCATAAATTCTTGTTTTAACTCTTCAACTAACCACTATGTTGTAATTAAATGCTTTGGAATGGTTTGCATGCAATTTTTGTGTTTTACTAACATCATTAACACATGGGGGGGCCTCAAATCTGAAGGCCAACTTTTAAGTGCTGTTTTCTCAAAAGTGACTTTTCGGAGGGTACCACACATAAAAGGCCATAACTTTTGATCTATTGAAGATAATCTAGTCAAATAAAAAGCAAAATGTTCAGAATTGAATGCATAATCCAAATATGTAAATAACTCAAAAGTGATAGAGTGACCCATGTGAAGGGTTTTCCTGGACAGCCACACATATTCACATTCTTTAACCTCACACAGAGCAAAAATGTCTTCTTCCTCATTACAATCATCTTGCTGGATCCCATCAATAGCTTCAACACTAAACAAACATGTATAGCTTGTTCACTTTCGCCAGACCGTGTTAAAAAAGTTCTAGCTCATTGAGGAATTTACCTATGCCCACGAAACTTTGCATGGCACTTCTGCTAGCCAGCGACTAAAAAAAAATTTAAACAAAAAAACAATCTTGACCCGATAACAAAAAAGTTTTTCTCTTTAAGCCCCATATTAAAAAACACTCTTTGGAGGCATACATTTACAATAATCTTGCCACCAAAATGCTCATTTTGAGAAAGCGACACCACCCAGCCCCCACATTTCAGTGTAAGCTTGTCGATTTCATCCCCTGGCAGTCCAGTGCTCCACGTGAATCTGGAAACTTACTCACCCCATCTCTTGAATCGTGTTTCTTAGGCGAACGTTTAAGAGTGGTGTTGAGGAAAATATGTCAACTTTTAAATGTTTTCAGTGTATGCTGTAAATCCCCTGTTATATTTTTTACCCACCTTTGGCTTGCATCAAAGAAAATGTTCCGGAACCTTAGTTTGCAGTGACTTTTATGAATGGGCTTTTAGATTCTGTTGGTCATCCAACTTTTAGACCCGTATGCAAAGATCCGAGTGGATCGAACAGAGCGATTTCATTTATCGTGTTTTAACGTCTATCAGACGTAAGTGAACAAGCTAAAGTTTGGGTGGCCATACTGAATAAAAATAAATTAGTCTTGTGTTGCTCAAAGTGTCTTTATTTATTATTCAGCAAAATTAAAGCAAGGCCCGCCAATGGTAAAAAAAAAAAGAAAATGGTTATGCCAAAGGCTCCAAGCTGAACACTTACAAATGGATAGCTACGTGTTTATCAATTGTTTTAATCAGTATTTTAAATACTTTTCCCACGATTTCTTCAAAAACTATCTTCTTAAACTTCAGAACAAGCATTGAACGTTCCCACTTTAGCCATTGACTTACATAAATGACCATTGGTCGACCATTGCCAGCTGTTCTGTCACACTTGAAGTAGATGGTCGACATTGCACGACTAGAATCTGGGAAGAAAATATGAGTGACAAGTAAAAATGAGTCGCTCATTTATGCAAAACTGCTATAAACATGGATACATCACAAGTACAACAAAAATTTTTTTAAATGTTTAAACTCAAATATGCTACTTATAATATTGATACCCAAAACATTAGCAAACAAATAAAAAAGTCACTTACATATTATCAATGGACAAACTTGCATTAAAAAAGAGACTTTAAAAGTAATGTTCAATTACTCATCCCATCCCAAAAAATCCACTTTCTGGTAACAGTAAAGAACTGATCAGTGCTAAGAAAGTCTAAGCTAATGGAATTTAGATCAGCTGTTGTAAAGGGAGAAAAAATCATAATCTTAAGTGTTTTACTGCAACTGCATAAAGTCATATGAGCGCGTGGCTACGTGTCCTGATCTGGGCAGGGGACATGAATAAAAACACAGTACAGACCAGAAATTTGCAACAAGAGCAAAAAGCTGAAGACCACAATAAAAAACCCCCCCAAAAATTCACATAACATCCACACCCACAATCATGTGCCAGGAAAGATTCAAAGTATTGCCACCAACCTGAACCACCACATTTTTTCCCCTGTGTAAACTGTAGGTCCACCGTGAAGCTGTTTTTGCGGAACATCCCATGCTCAGGGTTACCAAAAGAACCATCTTTGTCCTTGGCCCCCGAGAGACAGACAGCCGAACCAGCACAAGATGCTTCCCCTTTCTCCCCTTTGTCCTGGAGATGTCCACACACCAGAACCTGGTACGAGCCCCCATGGGACGAAGACACCTAGAGGAATAAACATGCAAAACAGTCGATGTAGTATGGGAGTCGCCTTCCTTTGTATACTCTTCATTCAATCCTTTCATGTTTTACCATACCTTTAGCGGAGAATTAAGAATCAGGATGACTGCCAAACTGAATTCAAAGTTTACCAGGGGCAGCCATTCATTTTCCAGAGGTATGTAACAGTAGACACTGTTCACTCCACAGAGATATATTACATATTCTACACACACAATTATATTTAGAACATATGCACTTCTTACCGGGAGAAAAAGCCATAGATGTCGATAATGAACAGCCAGAGGCTTACACATTAGTGCCAGGCATGCTGCCCCAAAAGGACAGATGTGATACACGAGTTCCAGGCATACTGGTGAAAGAACTGAAGTCCCTACCTCCATTTCTTAAGTTATGAGACAATGCACATAGAGCAAGTCAGAAGACAACACAAAAGTCATACTCATACCACTTTACTATATAGTAACAAACACACACACAAAGATGTAAGATTTGTAAGTATCAGATTGAGGATTTCATTCCCAGATAGGTTTGACACAACAGATACATAAGTCTATCAATAATAGGGATTTCATTCCCAAATAGGTTTGACACAACAGATACATCAGTCTGTCAATAACATGCTGCAACACGCTTTGCTTTCTCAAGGACGGACACAATTCATGGGAAAGTACAAGCAAGCTCAGGGAGTTACTGGGAAGTCATATGAGCCATACGTCACAAAAGATACTTTGATCTATCACTATAATTCTATCTAAATCCAGACAGGTTATAGTTTGTTTGAGTAATGAGACTCATATAGACACAATAATGGTCAATTAATGCTTGGAAAAAGTAAGATGGACAGACAAAAACAGCAGAAGAAAAGTGAAGTGCCGCCAAGTTATAGTTCTCATACTCACTGGGACAGGGTCTGACAAGGGTGAAAGGTCATAGGTGACCTGGGCCTCTGAGTCATAGTAGGTGCAGTTTGGGTGCAATTTCTGTGTGGTCTTCCCTTCACAAGCCTCGGGAGTTTCCCATGTAAATACATACCGGCAGCTATCTACCACATCAGTGAGTTCTGGGTCCTAATGAAAAGAAGAAAAAAAGAGAATTACAAACAAGATCATACACAGGTGTATTAGTATTCAAAACAGTCTGAGGTAACTTTTATAAACTAGGGATGGGTGGGGATGGGGTGTTGTCTCGCCGGTCAAGGGAATAGTTTCGTCAGAGATTGAGATAACGCAGGACAAGAAAAAGAATGCATTTTCTGACTTGTTTGAGATCAGTAGAGGAAAGATCTCCTTTAGGACAAATTCTTTTTGAGGAGAAATAAATCACTGCATTTTGGGGGTAATCCATCATCCTAAGCAGACAATTCTCATTTTCACTTACGTTACCTACCGAGAACTTCATGTGGCCACATTTGAGGATGATGACGGATGACAAGCTGACAGCCTTCTTAGATGGGCAGGGGCTGCCGTGGTCATAAATAAGTCGGGCCTCCTTTGTATATTTATCATATACAGGAGCCTGACGTATACGACCCAAACTCTGAAACACATAATATTTACATTTCTTGGTTACTCTTCTTTCACAAATGTCTTTTTCGCCAACATTCCAATTTACTGCAAAATTTCTGAACAAAGCATTCTCTCTAACTTTTCTATTGCTAAACTTCAAAATTGTCTCTAAAAGTTAAGAATAATAGCACAGCATGATATGTGATGGAAAGTGGTAAAACTCATACATAAAGGCATAAGTACACTATTGTCACTTGCTGTTTTATGATGAGAATGTGACCTTAAGCATCATGTCTTTCCCAAACCCATCTCTATCTCTCTTTCATCATCTTAAGCTCTATCTCTCTTTCCAGCCCCCCCCCCTTCCTCCTCTCCTTTTGCATATGTCCTCTCTTAATAAATTTTAAAAAATCACCTGTAAGATGAGCTCATTGTATTTTCCTAGGCCTCTCTTTTTCCTCCTCCTCTTTTTGCCAAAGCCCTCTCTTAATAGATTTTTTTTTTAAAATCACCAATAGGGTGAGCTCATCGTCTTGTCCAAGGAGGTCCATAACAGATCTGAGAGACTCCGAGAAAGGAATTAAAGTCAGGGACCAGGTCTTGTAGTCTCATGAAAAAGATTCGATGACAGAAAACACATGCAAATACATCAAGAAAAAAAAAATCTGATTCAAGTGATATCTTTTGTCCTGACCCAACATGCATTTGCTCAAGACTGTCTAATGAAGTTATAGTATCCATTCCTGTGTTTTGTAAGAAAAAAACCCAACAAAACAAAACAAAACTTTACCAGTGGTTTTTCTGCTCCCCGCACCATGCAAGCACCTGACCCAGGCGGGCACAGGGTGCCAAAGATTGGGTTTAAAGGTCGACAGAGATTAACGTAGATCATCCCAGCTGTCTTATGGCCACCGGCGCCTGCTGGCAGGACATTGTACTGACCAGACTTCATGATGAGAGGAGAGAAGTCCAGGGTGAACCCCCCATCAGTCTTGACCTCACAGCTCACCTGGATGGGAGAACGGAGAAGAACATGGACTTATACCATAGATAAAAAAGACGAAAAAATGAATAATTGTCTTAGAAAAAAGAGCCAATTTTTTTTTTTTACTAAGAGGTTTACAGCAATTGCAACACAATTAGATCATAAAAGTGCCAAAGAATAGAGGTGTTACAAGAGAGTAACAAACACACAAAAGGAGGAGCGGAGATAAGAATGATAGATGTTTGATAGGAAAGAAGGAGCAAATCACACCAGAGCACGACATTTTGATAATGCTGACCTGTTTTCTTTTCTGTCACTGGTATCAATAATGCTACTGGGATCAAGAGACAGTGGGCAAGCCACATTGGATATCCAGTTGAGTGCGACTGATGTCAAGTGCTCAGAGCTTATACTCTTATAGGATAGAGCGCTATATAAATGCAATGTACTTTTATTACTTGTTATGCTGTGATACCTTTATACTCGCAGGTGGTAGGATGGTAAGAGGGCACCACTAGTAGGCTTTGTTTCTTTTCTTTCACTCTCTTGTTCCATTTACTTTTTCCCCAGTACTAAATGAGCGTTATTGTGTCAATGTGCCTCTCTTTTTTGTTTTTGTAAAGTGTTTTACGGCGCTCGCAACTGCATAGGTCATATGAGCGCGCGGGACACACCTAATATTTTCAGTTGGTAGGAAATTTTGAATTTTGCCCGGGTGGCGGCCGAAGCCTACTCTTATCGATTTTAGACCACCAAGGGATCTTTAACGTGCGCAACTTGCACACGGGCCCTCCGAGATTTTTCGCCCTTGTCCGAGAAGGCTAGGTGTAGATCTTTCCTACCAGAAGATCAGGGGTGTGGCAGAAAGACAGCAGTAAGGAGGAGCCAAGGAGTAGCAGTAGAAAGGCTGCAGAAAGAGTCAGGAGCCCAGAGGAGGGGGCAAAGGAGGGGGTGGGGACAGAAAGTGGAAATGAAAGCAGACAACAGAACATTGCTAGAGACCAGGAAAGGAGGTGAAAGGAGACAATTTTAGAGAAGAAAATTATTTGGTCGCTACCCGGATTCGAACCCGGGACCTTTGAATGAGAGGCCAACACCTTAACCTCTAGGCCACGAGAGCCCCCTGTGCCTCTCTATCCGAACAATTAAACTAACCCTTATACCTATTGGGAAATAAATTTAAAAAAAAAACAGATAGAAAAAGTTTGTGTCATTACTCAATTACTCACATAACCACACATGATTCTCATTTTGTAAAGTAACCCCCCCCCTCCCAACAATTTGTTTAATTTATGTTGTGCTGCGAACTGAACTTCCTTCCAGCCCAATACATCTCATTTGGACAGTCTGTGGGCTCAGATTCTCCTACCTCCGTCTCACAAGCCAGCTCTGTCTGCCAGTCAAAGTAGTAGAGACAGTCTCCAGACTTGTCAATGAAGATGGGCACCCCCTTGCCGGCCCCGGGGACACAAACAAAGTTGATGAACGTTTCACGCGTCATTCCCTGTTCGTTGCACTTGTCCCCGCTCTTGTAGTGAAGGGCCAGAACTCCATCCAGATACTGCAGCCGGGCATTGGCCGAGCCGGTGCTCACACTGGCCTTAGCACCTAGCCGGTCAGTCTGACACACGGCTGGAAGGGGTGGGGGTGGGGGGTCGTACAAGGAGAAATAAAGAATTGAAAAATTTTTAAGCCAATTTACACCTCACTTCTCACTCCAACAGACAGCAGTAAGCAGGGCTGTCCACCCACCAGCATGTGTTTTTTAGTAATCAGGAAATAAAAAATTAGTAATCTGGCTCAAAAAGTTGTAATATGGCCATGGATGGTCTTCTTCCTTGGAGGGTTAAGGACAGGGGTTATAAAAGTAACACATAAAAAGGCATGTTGAAAAAAGCGGTCTTGACAGGCTCGTCACTGGTCGAGTTCATTAAAAAAAAAAGGGGCACAAAAGGGGGCTATTGTATTAAGTTTCAAACAATTATCCATTTTAAAAAATCTCTCTCACTGGCCTTGGCAGTCACACACAGCACAAAAAGTTTGGAATTTGCTAGCACCTTTTCGACCTAATGTTTACCATACTCCTGGATTGCGCACTTCTAAAAATCAAATGTTTTTCTAAGGGCAAGGTGGCACCGAGTGACTACAAGGGCTCAAAGCAAAGAGGACGCTGAAGTTAGACATCTGCACCTGACATTATCACAGACTGTCCGGATCTGTTAGTTTTTCTCCCCTTTTATACACTGGGAAGGTTGGCAGTGAGTTTGGACAGCCGAAATTTAAAAAAATCCAGAATCAGGGCTATTTATTGTGATTGTATTTCCGTAAAATTGAATAAAAATCTAGACAATTCGGCCAAAGTTGTAATGATGGGCAGCCCTGAGTAAGGCAAAAAAAATATTTTTATTGGTTAGGACTATTGGTTAGGACTTCAAGACCTTTGATGCAGTGAAATAAGAATTTGAGAAAAGATCTAGAGAAGCCTTTAACCACCAGTGACCCATCAAACGTTAAAAAAGGTTCGCTTGCTAATCAACAACTGTTCCTCCAAACCTGTAAGGGTCGAAAAAGCTGAGAACAAAGAAAAGAGGTTGACTTACCTGTCCCATTAGCACATTTCTCTGTACTCTGAAGCCAGGCACAGACATTGAGGCTAAACTCATGGCCGTTTCTGTCGTATGTCGTGTAACCTTCACTTTTTCGAAGACCAGTCAAGTCAAATTCATACCCTGAAAAGTTTACAAATAATCAAACAGATAAAAGACAAGCAGTAAACCAGAACCAAAAACAAGAGTATTTTAGGAGATATGAACAGATGAATGCCTTTAATGGGTATTGTAAGCACTGAAATAAAACCATACTATTCTTTGCAGAAATCTGTGATGGTTAATTCATGAGTAGAACCTTCAATATAATATCCATCTCCGGTGGGACCAAATCAAGCCCGTGGAGAGTCATGAACACTTCCAAATCATAAAAATGTGAGATACCTGCTTCAGGAACAATAACTTGGGAACACAGAGTCTCAGTACAGCAGGATTAAATGGTCTTTTGATTTACTTTTCTGCGATGTGTTTCTAAAATTTCGTACCACTATATTATATATAACAGCATCATTTAGAATTTGGTTTTGAAAGTCTGTGTATACATAGTATTTCATAAGGTTGTGTTATGTTGCCCTGAGCCAGTTTCTAAATATTTCCTGAACTGACACAACCCAGACAGAATGCTTTCCCCAAACACCATTAACAAGATGGTTTTTCCTTTTCGTCATGTTCCTTTGCATATCTTTTCTGAAATATTCATATCGAGAACTGAGAACATAAAATGTTTCCTTAATCGGGTCAGAGACTGAGGACACAGAGACTCCACAAGAGAGAGCAAGCTGCGTGTACACAAACCTGTGTCTGGGTTCTTCACAGTGCAGTTGCCAAAGTCGCTGGCATCAACTTTGCTACCGGGATCAAGAGACAGTGGGCAAGCCGCACTGGACGTCCAGGTGAATGTGTCCTGGCAATCTACCATGAAGTGGCCATCGGGACTGCCCAACTGAAGAAAAGTTCATTAGTCAATGTGAAAATCAAACTTTTGATAAACAACAGAAAATGTGTGTACGACAGGCATAATCTAATTTCTAAGTGGTGCATGATAGGTATAATCTAATTTCTGAGTGGTGTATGAAATTTATAATTTAATTCTTAAGTGAAAACTTAAAGTCATATGTCATTTTCGTGGTACTTAAATTCCCATTAAAAATCTTTAAGACCACAAAAAAAGTGTTAAGTCCAAACTCTTCTCACAAAACTCCAGGTAGAGTCAGGCAAGAAGAAAAAACTGGTTAAAGAGAAGGTGTACACAGCTTCTTAGTGTGTGTGACAGAGAGCAATGTCAGTGTGTGTGATTATGTGTGGAGTGAAAGTGTGTGCAGTGGTAAAGTAAGAAAGTGTGTGAAAAGTCAAGGTGAATTAATGTGTGCAACAGTGTTCATAGGCAGAGGGGTGATGGTGTGTGACACGACTGGTGGGTGATGTGCGTACTACATGTGAGTGTGTGATGAGACTGCTTGAGTTCAATCCGGGAGTGAGCGAAAGTACACAATGATGGCATGAAGAAGTGCAATGATAGGGGGACAGGTGTGTGATGTGGGTGAATGTGACAGTGTGTGATATGAAGGCGAGCAAAGCGAGCGTGAGTGGCAGCCAATAGCACGAAGGTATCTGTGACAGTGTGTATGATGATACGCGACTATAGGAGTGCTGTGCACATCCCCCTCGAACCACAGCCATACACTGCTGGTCCAACAAGGTATTACTCACTGCATCCGAATTTTTGTCGCAATCAAAGAGGATGACTGTGGACCGCTGCGTCTTCCCGTCCTTGCAGAGTTCTCCGTGCTCGTACTTCAGCATCAGAGTCTTGTGCTGAATGTTGAGAGAGCGGCTTGTCACCTCCCCGATGTTGTGGAACCTGATGTGAGACACAGGCTGGGATATAGGTGCAGTACAAGTAGACCAGATAAGATAAGATACATCTTTATTGTCCTGACCCTGCCAAATTGGTTTGGCGTTTCACCACGTACACACACACACACACAAAATGCACACAGACGCAGTCACATGCATAATATAAATGAACAGCAATATAAAATACTCAATGTTATTCTGATGTGTGCTCTAAGGTCATATGAATACTTATAACAAGAAAGTTAAGATGGAAGAATTTTAACGGATGATGGTAAAAATGACCTTCTGTATCTTTCTTTGTTACAGATAAGAAACCTCCTTCTTTTACTTCTGACTGACGTTTTTATTTGACTGAACAATGGATGTTTGTTGCCTAAAAAGATGGAATTAATTTTTTAAAATGCAAGCTGTTATGAAGTTGGAGGAGTAAGGGACGGGGGGGGGGGGGGGGGGATAAGACAGGAGGGGAGAACTGAGGTAAAGTAATGAGGGTGGGGATGGGGATGAGAGAGAGAGAGAGAGAGAGAGAGAGAGAGAGAGAGAGAGAGAGAGAGAGAGAGAGAGAGAGAGAGAGAGAGAGAGAGAGAGAGAGGGAGAGAGAGAGAGAGACAGACAGAGACAGACAGAGAGAGAGACAGACAGAGACAGAGACAGAGAGAGAGAGAGACAGAGAGAGAGACAGACAGACAGACAGACAGACAGACAGAGCAGTAAAGAGAGATCACTAGATAGGCTACTCGTTGATATCTATCAATCATGCGCCTCAAGTTAAAGCTGTATAACAGCAGTGTACTATCCACACTCCTGTATGGAGCTGAATGCTGGAGGATGACTGATCATGACCGTTCCTAGCTATCTTCCTTTCCATACAACCAGCTTACACCAAATACTCAGAATCTTCTGGCCCGAAAAGATTTCCAACGCAGACCTGTTACGAAAATGTAGGCAAGAGGACATGACCACCATAATAAAAAGGAGAAGATGAAGATGGATTGGGCATGTTCTGAGAAAAGAACCAGACTCTATTGTGACGACTGCCCTCCACTGGACACCCAAAGGACGTCGCAAAAGGGGCAGACCCAAAGTGACCTGGAGACGCACAGTAGAGTCTGAAATGAAGTCTTGGAATCATTCGTGGGGAACGTTGACCAAGATGGCCCAAAACAGACAGAGCTGGAGATCCTTTGTTGCTGCCCTAAACGCCAGTAATAGACCTGCATGTGAGCCTCAACAAGATTGTCTGAAAATTTTGCGCCCCCCCCCCCCCCCCCCGACTTAGAGCTTTTAAATTGTGGGTGTCATAAAAGGAAGGATTTCCGAGTAATGAGCGACCACCCGAACAAACACGATAAAGAGACCTAACCCTAACCCAAACCCTACCCCTAGGCCTACCCCAAAAAAGAACCTGCAACGGCCCTCTTGTTTGTAAAAGGCGAGCACTTAAGTCAAAAAATTTTTTTTTAAAAACACACTCCATAACAAACAAGGAGCATAATAAGGCCTACATTGCTATAATAATAACACAATAGAATTCGAATATGAATCCTCCATATTGTTATAGATCTAGTAATCTAAATAAATCTAGATCTAGAACTAGTAGAACAAGTGAATAGGAATAGGCCTTGAACGAGAAATCCGCATCCAATTCCGAACAAAGGGACTCAGCTGAGTCGAGATCTTGAATACTAGATTCTAAGTAAATAATTCACGCACCTGATGAAATGCGTTTTACCAACATTAATATTACAGTACATCCTATAATAAATAGGGTTTGACACAATAGAATTGGAATATAATGAATCCTCCATTGAGGTCTATAATGATCAATAAATCTAGATCTAGATCTAGTAGATCTAGAACAAGTGAGTCGGACTTGAAAGAATTCACATGATGTGAACAATCAGTAAACGAACGAAATTCAAAATGGCCGTTTGAGTGCGAAACTGAAAGTAGATAATTTCGGTCGTCGTCCTTTTTCATATTTGTATTTCTACTCAGGTTCCGACAATTATGCCGGAAACGCCGACGTTGGCAGTCGGCCGTCGGCATGAAAACGAAAGTGCTGACAAAGCTGACGGGAGAAAAAGGGGGCGCTGGCAGTCAGCCAGGCCTCGCACTTCGCACATCCACTAATACAGGTGGGCCTAGCGATAGCATTGGCCGGCTCGCGGGTCACGATTGTCGGATTTCAGACGATTGTCGGCAAACATGCAGGTCTGTAACTAAGTAAGTAATCATGCGCAACCTACATGAACAGCAACAACCATAATCTTGAGAATATGCTTTACTCAATAGTGCTTTTTAATATTCTCACTTCTTTTTTGGGTCTTTCTCGGAATCATCGATCATACAGGCAGCCGACTCGAAGGGGCAAGTTTGACCTGAGGAGTAGAAAAAGTCGGAATGACAAAACTGGACACAAATATCATCATGAAAATGAAGAAAGACACTACAGTGGAGAAACGATTCATAATGACAGCTGTTTAAGAGCCATAATATCATAAGAAGCAAAAACTGAATTAAAACGGCTGTGATCACAACGTAAATTGGGCAGCTGACATACGCAGGGATGCCACTGGACTAATGTAAAAAATAACTGAACATTTTTTCGAGACTAGATTTAGCATGTGACGAAGCAATAAATGCAACAAAACAACATAATATCAAGCGTGAGACTGAGTGAGCAAAGCTAGGCCTGGCCTGCATTTGAAATCAGACCTAAACATCTGGTTGTTCATGCGCGTTTTGATTCAGTGAGTGTACTTCCGTTGAGTGAATATATGGATCCTTGAGCCACTCTGTCCGTAATGGAACAAAATGGAAAACCGACTTCCTGCACAACCATTTTTGCGTGGTCATCGAGAACGGATCCAATGAAAGGAAAAAACAGAAAAACAGCATCCTTGTATTTGAGGTATTGTTTTCAAATATGTGTTTAGAGCACAACTCCAACTGTCAAAATCCTTCTAACATATGAACAACCAGGCACAATTTCCATACCTTTCTTATGCACCAACGAGCGGCATATGTTGAGGATGTACGTCGTTTGAGAATATGTTCGCTCATAGTTTCCATCTGACCTTGAGAGTCGAGAGAGGTCATAGACATCATTTCCGATGCGGAAAGTGCAGTCAGTCACTTGGTGAGGAGGACAAGCCCTCTGGGTTGGCCACTCAAACACATAGGTACAGTCAGACCTGGATATAAATAATAATTGAATAATATTTTCATTTATACAGTGAAGATTCAAGCTATACAGCCGGCTCTATGCGCCTTACTCAACTGTTATTACTCCAGCAGACCCTATGCACTCAGAAACATTATACCGGTACAAATCGTCACACGACAAATGACACGGCACAACTTGGCACAGTACAGTTTGGGTGTCCTGTCTTACTGGAGTCTTGGCAACCATCGTTGACCATAAAAATTGAGTGAGGTTTATCATGAAGTGCCAGTTCTGAAGCAAACACCGGCAATCATGTTTAGCCGTTCAATTCTTTGATCGGTTGCTCTAGAAAAGCCCCCAAAAACTGGTTTTTCCCCTGTCACCTTTCAGTTCATGTCTTTTAGTAAGTTACTATTGGTCTACCCCTGCTCTTGCCTTTTATTTTTCCAGTGAGAGCAAGATGTTCAAGGTATTTATCGACTTCTTAGTGTAAGACGCCATCAATTTCCATTTTGAAAAGTGACGCATGACGAAGTCTATCACTAAGCAGTCCTTATGTTGATTTAAGAGTACAAGAAACTGCATTTGTCTTTTCCTTATTATTCTTATTCGTGAGCAACCCATGGTGGTGAGGTTAAAACCATACCTGTCAACATTGCTTGGGCCAAAATCTGTAGTTGACACAAATTTTTGTCCAAAAATCTGTAGTTGACCAAAAAATCTGTTGTAGGCTATATTACAACTTGCCGCATACTTAATTGGGAACCCTTATTAATATTTTGACCCACACATAGAGGAGTGTGTTTGTGACTTCAAACAAATGTAGAAAATGACAAAGAGCAAAAAACAAAAATTAGCTAAAACAATGAAAAATAAAATTTTTATCCAGCTTAAATGAAAGAAGAATAAATTCTAAGAACTGCGGTTTTTAAATTTTAAACATCCATTCATAAATAAACATGTTATTGGGATTTTTCGTTTCAAAATTTTGGGGGACTTTTATATAGGAAAATACTGCCAAAAAGTGGGACGTTTCTAGATGTATTTTCAGGAAAAACTGTTCATAAGTCAGTAAAGAGTTGAAATATATGAATGAACCCTGGCATCTTCGAGTGATCTTTAGTGCAGAATCTAGTTCTCCTATCACTTTTTCGAAGTCTATCTTTGGATCTTTAAGACTAATATTAAATTTGCATGCAAATATGTTGAATTGCGCGACATCGCTTGAACTGTGGCCGATCACCCCTCTACAAATTAGTAAAGCAGTATCGGGAAAACCCGCAATGACATCACTGGTAACCTGTTTAGTTTTAGCAGTTTTAAAATTGTATTACTGCAAAACTCTCTGGTTTTACGCAGTCAATCACAAGCCGCCTAGCGATCACGCGTCTCTTGCATGTGTTGGGTCCGTGATCTAGTTTCCAGCTCTACTGTTTTATCAATGGATGGGTGGTAATTTTAAATTGGTACATAAAATGTAGCCCTACTACACACAAAGAACTGAAATTTTACAGCAATAAAGAAGACATGTGGGGCGCTTGTTGGTGGCTTATCTCTCAAAATCGGTGGATAGGCAGTTTGACCAAAAAGTCGGTAATATACCAATTTTTTCTGTAGGGTTGGCAGGTATGCAAAACATACAATTCATCAAAGTAAGGACACAAGCACACACAGGACTCACTGTTCTTCTACATAGCGTGGCCCTCCTTCACCACTTTCACTGTGGTCACACAGGAAATAGATGACTGTCGTACGATTGTACTTATGGTGACAGCTTGACCGTCCATCCGAGTACACCAGTGAGATTTGACCAGAGTCGTATATGGGGTTGCTGTTATACATCCCTGGCAAAAACAAAACAGACTTTTGACTTTTGTCTGCTCAGCCTATGTTAGTAGCATGCAAATCACTGATGTTATGCTCCAATAGGGTAGCTAATTTCTCACACTCTTTTCAATGAGCAAATGAGTTAAGACACAAAATTTAGTCCACATTACTGGTGTATTGTTTATCTACAGTGCACGCTGATTCCTGATTTTTACTTAACACCCACAGATCAACATTGTCAATTGTTTTAAAACAACTACAATAACAACAACAAAAAAGAGACACTTGCTCAAACAAATCAAATACATTTTCATGTCTTGGGCCAAGAAAAAGTTTACAGCTTGAGAAAAGAGTTTAGCATTTGAAAATACACAGACTGATTGGAGTTCTATAGCTGTACAAATGGAACACCTGAGACAACATGTCAAACCTTATCTCCTGGCAACAGAAAACCTCCATAACTACCAACTGTGCATTAACATTTATTGTCATCTCTTCTTGATCATTGTTCCTCATACAACAACTCCACAGAGATAATCACTAAGTTTCCACTTTTCCATCTACCTTTTTATAATAATATCAAGTTTGCCATTTTACATTCAATCTTTTATGACATTTGATTTCCTCATTTCCATTTCATCTTTTATGACCTGCAATTTCCTCATTTCCATATTCCTGATGAACGCCTTTGTGTGTCTACGGAGCACTATTAAGTCTGAAAATTCAGGTTCCCGGCCAAAACAGTTAAAGCACATCTCCAAACTTGACGAATTTTCGTCTCATGTCATTTCTCAGAAACGGAAGCTTTTATATAATTTGATGCAGTAGATTTAACCATATTAATTTCTAAAATTGTTCCACTTGCTTGCTGACAAACCAGAAAAAGCAAAAAATAAATCTTAATAAAGCTGTTAACAGCTAGAGTGCTCAAAGAGCAACGAATCTTTCTTTCGTGTTAGACATCAACTTTCACATAGGGATCGAACAAATCACTTCTCACCTGTCTCAATCGGCGACTTAAGAGTTGAGCCATTCTGACATGCTCCAACATGCGCCCCACTGCAGGACCCAGGACCATTCACCAGAGGGCCACAAACGTTGAGCAGAAATTCGTACTCATCTCCCTTTACCTTGTAGTTGTTCGTCGTCTTCCGCAGAGGGCTCAAATCAAACTCAAAGTTGTAGAGCGGATCTATGACTTTACAGTTGGTACCAGTTTCAACCTGAAATGTCAAATACAAGTTTTACAATCTGACGGAATTATTCAAAATATATAGTAGAAGGGCTCTGAGACAAAAAAGAACCATTTACTGAAATAAAATATTTCTCTCACATAAAAGAATGCTCACGAAAAAAACAGGAGGGGTTGGCAGAGAATTCTATATTAATCAAAAATGTGTTTTATTTAAAGTAATGCAGACTGCATGTGGCACAGATAATATATACAGTAGAGTTACAAGACAGAAAAGAGCACAGCGTCACTTTTCGCCCGATTCTGTTACTTTTAGTTCGCGTGACTCAGCAGCCCGCCAGAGCTCCCCGGCTCGAGGTCACGGGGTTAATGAGCCCTGATGAGACTTTGCCGGTGTCGGTCAGGAAGTTCGCATTTTTGACTATGTTTAAAACGACATAACTTCTTCCCCATCCCACATAGCAAACCATTACACGGATGTACTAAAAGCTCAATGTCTTGAGATTTATTCTGTGTTAGAATGGTTAGTTTCTGTGCCTTAGTTTTTGTTCTAGACAAGTGTTTGTAGAATACGCAATTTGTCCTATTTTATTACAAACTTATGAATAAATGATTGTTAATTTAAAAAAGGCTCGACAGATCTCTCCAAAATCTGAGTTAAACTGACTACGAATTACCATGAGAAATCTTAAATCTGCGCGAGTAGAAACAGTCAAGTTATAAGAGAAGAAAGATGCACATCTGCATTTTTTAACTAAAGACGATCAGCATTAGCTCTTATTTTACTATTAAACAAGAGAAAGTTACTCTGCGTTTGTTCATGAATCATGCTGTGTCTGTGGCAGCCTGCATACAACTAAAAAGATATAATATAAGCGATTAAAAAGACCACAAAACCGTGTAAATACATGGGTAGAGATAAACTTCTTGTATGGAATAAAAATAATGTCAGCTAAAACATTCATTCTTAGTTTTTGTGTAGGAAATATGCGCGGACACAATTATGAATGTAAAGAAATCAGTCTCTTTGTAAGTTATTGCAAATGGTCATAGAAACGAAAAAAAAGCTGGAAAAGTCTGGTGCTGATTCAGGGTCCCTGGAAAGCTAGAAATTATTCTTATAACCCAATTACGAGAAGTCATCCCTATTATTCAGTCAACTTACAAAACCTAGACTTAGCAGTTTAAGAAAAGTTAGGAATTTCTGGAGTGTAACAGATACTGTTCGTGTATTAGATCTACGTTGAAGATGTATTCTAGCACTAAAATCGATTTGTATTTTTCATAGAGAAACTTCATGGTAACTTTTATAAACGTTCGAGAAAATATGCGAATATTCACGATTATATTAGACACATAAAGTTGTATTTGGAGGAATTACTTCATAGCGAATTGTGTGCCTGATGGATAAAATTGTAAAATTACAGCCTTCTATTATGTGCGCAGATACCATCTTTTCTGAGTATCTGCACCAATGTTATGTCGTTCATGTTCCAAAAGTTCGACAGATTTTGACGATGCCTTTTTTTTAATATTGATTTTTTTTCCTTCACGCTAGTCAAAAAAAATTTACAATTTAGCATTGCCGACTCCAGCGCGTCTAACGAAATAACCTGACAAGTTACATCCGTTCTTTTTTGAGTCTCAAGAGCAGAAATGCGTGCTTTGGGTGCACTAAATGAGAATTACCATAAATACAAGGATACACCTTAAATTGTAAGTTGCAAAGTACCAAAAATTAAGTCGGCCCAGACAGAGCGGTGACAGGGAACTGACCCCAGTGACCTCGACGTGATAAGGCGCCCGGTGGGGAACCCCCGCGGCAACTAAAATTCCACTACTGGTGCGCTGTGAGAGACATCTAAAAAAATAAAATGTGTTAAGGGTGGCTGCAAGATGAGATTTGTACTACTGAGAGAGATAGTGATACATATTAAATACAACAAAAAAAAAAGAACAGAGACACATAGCTGGCAGTAAGTGACAATGATGAAATGTGAGGCAGCTTGGGAAATCAGGCGCTTGTCAAAATCATAAAATTGGAGAAACTAGCATTTTCCCACGGGCTTGGCAACTTTTATTGAATTTTTGTTTTCTGCCCTAACACCTTTAATGTCTATTTAAAAACACATTTAGGTGTGGATTTTACAGAAAAACGTTGATTGAAAGCACATAAAATGCAAATTTGCAGTTTTCAAGGACCCTCAAACTTTGGAAATCACCAAACTTTGGCAGCCAAACTCACTAGTTTTTACCTCTGAAACCAGGTTGCCCTCACCTCCTTCAATCCGAAATATTTCAACTTCTATTGAAGATAGATGGGAAGCTCTTTGATCGAAATCAAGAAAAATGAACAAGCTTTAAGATGATGCGTAACTCCATTTGCCAAAAAAATTTATGAGAGCCTGAATCCATGGCGTCGTGACACAAACACAAATAAAGACGTATGTATCTGAGAGTCCGTCTTCTATACTCACGTGCTGAGCACAGGCACTGGGGGTTCTCCAGACAAAGCTGTACTCACAAGTGTCACTTTCTCCCTCAAACGTAGGACTGCCCTGGAAGAACAAGAATGAGAAAATCATGTCTACTGCTTTTTCACATTTCTCTACCTTTAACACTATCTCCTTGTAAAAGGGCTATAAAGTAAAAATGTTCACGCATCCGATCCCGACACTGGGGATTGCCTTGTTAGTGAGACAACTTCCTGAGCCTTCGGCATACTGTGGTAGGGTGGAAAATGGCTATAAATAGGTATAAATAGGGCTACACAATCACTCTTCAAAATATTCCAGTTGCCAGGCAGAAGAATGGCGGGCCGGCCCCTTTGGTACTAAATTAAAAAATGACAAAAACGTCACTAAATGAGTCATTGAATAAAAAAAAAAGTGGACTTATTTCGATAGTTCATCATCTAATGAATGAACTACCGATAAAAAAGACTTGTTTTCAGCAATTGCTGAAAAGTAATTTGATGTTGAAGTTGTCGTAAAGGAAAGAGCCTGAGCTGGGAGAGACTTGCCGGAGATAAAGAGTTAAGCAACAGCACAACAATTTTTCAGAGAGAAATCAGCTCATTTAGAGCTACAAATAAATACCACTGGGGAGCAAGCATGGTTCTCCATGCTGATATTTCTCAATTATTATAATGAAATCAGAAACATAGTAAATCTTCAGTAAGAATAAATTCAAATGAAAATAATTAAACGGCACCTGTGATAACACTTGTTGCCCTTACACAGAGCAGAAGATAGTAAGATTCCTGGATGAGGAAGTCATTTCATCCAGTATCTCTATCTGCTGCTGGGATACAGTATCCCACTCACCCCTGGTAGGCGCTGATAGGCAGGTTCCAGCAGCGAGCCTCCTTAATATTCTAACTTGTGTCGGGTGACACAGGGATCAGATGGGTTGTCACTGGGGCATATCCTTGAGCAAGACGCTACAACCCTACCTAAAAAAAACCCTGGGTGCTGCACAGTGGTGTCCAGCAATGGCATGGTTGTGAAATTATTCTGTATAAGTATAATATACGTGTATGTGTGTGTGTATTTACCATTGTAACAACAGATTGCCCTTCTGGGATCAATCAAAACGTAGATAAAAAAACAACAACCAAAAAACCCATTATACATAAAAACTAAAAACAAGAACTCAAAAAGACTGAGCATACCCTGCATTCTAAAATAAACAAGCAGAAGAAACCTGGAAACAAAACAAACGGCACTCACCTCTACACTGGCACAGATGAATGTGATCTGGGTGGAGCGGAAAGCCTCTTTTTCAGTGCCCTTGTGGCATTTGTCTCCCCCTGTGTAGCGGATGGAGATGGCGCCACCGTCTGGGGCCACCACCGGCTGGGACTGAACATACCCTAAGCTGAAGCCGTGGCTCTGACTGTTCGTGCTCGTCTGGCAGCCGCCCACAGCCCCTCCTGGAAGGAACAAGCGCAACATTAAATAAAGAACAAGCATTTTCATAACAATAAATAAGGAACAAATAAGGAACAAGCATTTTCACAACATTAAATAAGGAACAAGGAACAAGCATTTTCAGATAACATTTCATAAATCTCAAAAACTATAGTTGAAATAGTTTCATAACATTACATAAACCCCAAATAACTACAGTTGAAATATTTGCATAACATAAAATAGACTCCAAATAACTACAGTTGAAATATTTTCATAACATAAGATAGTCACAGAGGAGAAGTAAAAAGTGTTCTACAAGTTCTATCCTTCAGTGAGGACACATAGACAGGTCGACACCTCAGAATTACAAAGTTTTATTTTATCTGCACAGTACCTAGTTTTCAGAAATTTGATGTCAAAGATTTTGAGTCGCACATCATGTCAACTTTTTCCGAATACAATACTTTGAATATCTTGAAATGACTCCGAATAATCTTACAATAAAGATTGAGCAGATAGAACATTTGTGAGGTAGCGTGGTGAAATCAGGCGCTCGTCAAAATAATGAAATCATAGAAAATGGGCATTTTCTTCGCCAGTTTGGGAATTTTTATCTTTTTTTACATTTTTGGCTTAACCTCCATTAGATCCATATAAAAACACATTTCCATGTGAATTTTACTGAAAAATATTGATTAAAGGCTCAAAATATGTCATTTTTCAGTTTTCAAAGACTATTTAGCTATTGGAGTAACAGACTTTGGCGCCCATATTCTCACTAATTTCACCACTGAAACCAGGCGACTTCACTTCTTTCAATTGCATATATTTTCAATTCTATTCTAGATAAATGGATATTTATTTAATTGGAAGCAAGGCAAATAAATCAGCTTTCAGATGATACCAATAACTCCATATGCCCAAAAATTGACGAGCGCCTGATTCCACCATATCGGGACACATTTGGTTTTTGATCTCATGGTCTTAGTAACTCAAAATGGCCAAAATGTCAGATAGAACTTTGTAATTCTAAGGTAGCGAGGTAAGTGTCATAACTATCAGCGTCAGCTATTTCAGAGCCAGAGGGTTTTCATGTTTTGGCAACGCTGATGCTTTTTGTGATATCACAGAATTATAGCCGTACCATAGAAAGTCATCTCAGTGATAATGTAATATTTGTTGTCACTGGGAGTTCAACTTTAATTTTTTCTGAAGAATAGACCTATTAATTATTCAATTCTTAATTTGCATATACAACTGAAATTGTTTACGATGGCCACCCATTGTCGAGGAGAAAAGTGGCCATCTTAGAAAGGCGGAGGTCTAATATAGTGCCATTTCAATGTAAAAATTTTTTAAAACTTATAAAACGCAAGTGGGAAATGGGAAGTAGCCATGTGTACAAATGTTCGTCTTATACAGGATGTCATTAGAATAGGTTCCACTCCATATGTTTTTGTATAAATTGTTTTATATGAAACACAAAGGGGAATATGGTAAAAGGACTGAAATTTTATCCTACCTGGGCAGGTCATCTCAGCGGTGGGATTGACCGGTCTACACACGTTGATGTGATAGCGGAGATCTTTGTGCGTGGACCTTGTGTCGATGACCACCCAGTTCCCGGTACTGCGAGCCAGAGGGGTCAGATCATATTGCCTCCCCTCTCTGTCCTGTACTACGCAGTCCACGGGTTTGGAGGCGCAGGCCAGGGCTGTCTCTACACGGAACACGGTGGAGATCTGGTCATGACTCTCGTAGCTCATACGCGGGTCCTGTGCCGCGCGGTCACAGAAGAAGTTGATGATATAGTTCCGCTGCGTGCCCGTGTCTGTGAGAAAAGAAAAATTCCAGCAAAAATTTTGAAGATTAAACTGCAATTCAATGGAACAGCCGTAGAAGGTAAATATACTAATGCTTCTGTTTAGTTACTTAGTTTAAGTAAGAGTTTTACTGCACTTGGAACACAAACAGGTCCTATAAGGGCCGAAACTTACAGGTGCTACAAGAGAGTAACATACAAAGAAAAGGAGGATAGATAAGGATAATTGAAGCTTAACAAAAAAACCCCCCAAAAAAGGCAAACCACATCGGAGGACCCAAAGCGTTTCTTAGATCAGTTGTAATAACCTGGACTCTTCTTGAAATGTCACTGCTCATTAACACAAAAGAACAACCCCAGGCATAGGCTTGTGCAGTGAAAACTAAACAAAAAAAAAGCTAACAATAAAATTTCAGGGGAATATTTTCAAGCAACTTGAGCACTGAATGTTGTTTACATGCTGCTGGCCCAGGGTAAAGTAATTTCTTGAAGGAGAAGCAGATTTGATTTACATGGAAAACACTGAAGTTCAGATCAATAAACAAAACACAAACCAAGTCAAAGAGAAATAGGTTCCTAAAACATTGAAAGAAATCTCTTCAGCTGACCTGTGCCCTTTTTTTTCCCCTCCTGTCATTGCTTCTAGACTCCTTCAAAATAGCTGGGTCAATTTAGCAGTAACAACAATCGCACTCTGTTCAGCAACAATAAGTGACAGATAAATTACAAATTCAGGAGTCGAATTTCCATGTGCTATAAGCATAGACAGAACCACTGAAATCTCCGATGAGGTAATCTTAGAGAACACCAACAACAGACCTAGCCTTTTCAAGATATGATTTTATGTTATTACTCAAAGGTCCTATTCTTTACTACCTCTCTGTTTCTGACAAAACCAACACTAAACTAAGCTCTTTCACTGAGTAAATAGACTGTACTACTTCTTTACCACCTCCCTGTTTCTGTGTCTCTGACAACACCACCTATTTTCTGAGCTATTTCAGAAGGTGATTAAAGCTTCTGTAAACTGCAGGTCCTACTTCTACAGAACCAGTCTCTGCCTGTTCATCTCATTGTTCTTCAGCATTAATTGACCATTCTGACTGTTACAACAGTAGGCTTCTTTGCCAATGAAAGACCCCCCCCCCCCCCCCCCTCCCCCGAGCAGCCTGTCAGGTACGTACACTGGTCCACGCCCCCAGGATATGTGATGGTTAGCTCCCCTTGGCTTGTATACTCAAGGTCTGAGGTAAAGGCAGCTCGTGGAATGTTCTTGTCTGTTCCAATCTGACACACGGAAGTTGGGTGCTTCCCGTCAAATTTGGCACAAACTGACTCGGGAAGACTACCGCAGATGTTGATCTGAGTAGAAAACAGAAGATGGGTTCATTGCCAGTGATGTCGATCTCACAAGAGGAATGAAATATGTCCATGACGCACACACTCACACACAAAAAAAAGTTAATAAGCATCACCTGAACAAATAGTTCTTACACATGAATGTCCTCCTTAGTTTAAAGGAAAGAAAACAGCCAATGTTCACTGTATTGTTGAAGCTTTTATGCAAAGTCTATATATTCTTTAATCATCCATGTCACAGTTATTTGGATCTTCAAATCCCAACACCTGAGAGCTGCACGGTCTTGTCAGAGTAAAACTGGGATAAGATTTATGTCAAATTTGTCTTTATGTCAAATCAGTACCTTGAGACTAAAGCAAAAAACAAAAAAACAAAAATGAACTGTTTCAGCATCAAGGAAGAAAGCATTCATTTGTTCAACATTCAGTAGAGAAAAACATTCCAATACAATATCAAGAGTGAAACTCAAAAAAAAATTAAGGCATCCTCTCCTCTAAGTAGGTATCCCAGAACTCTGCTTCGATTAAAATGTACTAAACTCTCAAGTCTCAGAAGCTATGGGACATAATCAAAATGATGGGAAGGAGGAATAAATTCAGGATCAAAATGACCAGTTTTGATGTTCAAAATTTTCTTCAAGCTAGGATTGGCCAAAGTCTGTCAACTGTTGAAAAAGTTACAGGTCTGAAGTTACTGGTTGTCTCTAACCTTCCACAGTCCTCTTTTGTGAAGAGTTAGTGAACCAACGAATCTCCGCAAACCAAAGTACCACACCTCACCCCACACTACCTTTGCTAGCAGTGCTGGCAGTCTACAAGCTAGGCTTCCGAGCTAGCATCTATAAGGTCTAGGTCATCCATAGTGTCCTTGGGAAAGCCACTTTATGCTGAAATTCCTCACTTTACCCAAGAGAAAATGGGTTTCTGGCTAAAGACAGGAAAAGATCTTTTCAGTATGCTTGGGTCTGAGGGCCTGAAAAATGACAACTTGCATTGAACACTTCCCGGGAGCTGACTCAAGATAAAAGGAAATTGTAGAGTACATAGAACCTACTTTACGACACAATATAAATTCAATTAATTATCATCATTACTTTGTAAGCCTCTGAGCCATCGGCGCTCTTCACATCGTAACCACCAAGTTTTGAGAGCGGCTTCAAGTTGAACATAAAGTCAGAGTTTGGGTCCCGCACCATGCAGGCTGTGTCGTTCTTCATATCGTCCACAGCACAGGCGGCAGATGTCTGCCACAAGATGGAGTACTCACATGGGCTCACTTGCTGAGGGGAGATCGGGCCCTCCGACTGTGGACAACAGACAATACAAAAGAACTTACATAATTTTGCTTTTCACTATTGTCCTTATCTCTCGTCTTTCTTTTTGTGTTTGTTACCATCTTGTAAAACCTGTAATCTTCAGAACTTACATAACCAAATAGTGTTGCAAGAGCTGTAAAACTCTTACTTAAACAAAACAAGGAGACAGAAATTTATACACATGAAATATATCACAGTCAAGTCGACACTTTATTCTTCTCAGAACAACTAAAAATAAATTATTAGTTTACATATTGCTTTCTAAATTCAAAATATAATTATATAAACAAGAAAAATGCATAACATTTGCTACAAAGAGAAGATATACAAACAGAAAAGACAACAAAAAAATCATCGCAGAAAAAGACAGAGATTTTTACCAGACAGAAAAGACAAAGAAATTTTACAACAACGAGAAAAAACAAAAAAATTATACACAAAAGGAATAAGGTACATAAACCAATGAAGTTTCCACTTCATTTAACACATTACAACCTAACTCCACCGGGACCGCCCGCGAATTCCCTTACGAGCTCCACCCTGACTCGCCAGGAACCGCCCGCGCCGACCTAGCGTCTTTGAAAACGAAGTCTTGCCTTGACGAGACTCTGTGGCCGAGATTTTGATTTGCATAGTTATTGCAAAAAGTTTCTTCTTTTGTTTGATACCGAAACAAAATTTTTCGGACCAGTAGTTTTAGTATTAGAGCCGATAGAAGTGCAATTGCGTTACCAACACTTCGTAGGAGTCTCGACTTGTTGAAAAGCAACACAATTGAGTTCGAAAAAGGAAATAACGCTGGATTTGAGCAAAAATAAGCATATTTAAGCAGATGACTCAAATTTTGATGAAAACGTACCAAGAGTTTGGGGCGATTCAGATTGATCAAACATAGAAAACCTAGAATTTAGATCTAGGGCCCGACCGCAAAGCTGAGAGTGAGAGTGACGGGTCGGACACCCCAATTGAACTAAAGTTAGAACATTTACAACAGTTTGCGCATACATGAAGTTATATTTTTCTGAAACTACATTCAGTATTCGTTTTAACTTTTATTTTTTCAGGATTTTTGGAATTTGTTTAGTATTTTTAAAATGTGTTTTTTTAAAGGCTTGTATTCATGGGAGGTGGATTCCTTCCCCTTGCTTAGGATCTATCAATGGACTTCCCGTCCAGACACTTAGGGTGTAATGTGTTAACACAAACTCGAAAAGTCCAGTGGGTGGCCCCACTTTACTCAAACTAACCTGATAGTCTTACACAGCCATTTCCTCATATCATAATAATAATAATAATAATAGATAGCATTTTTATAGCGCATATCCCCGCTCAACAGCAGGCTCTATGCCTATAGAGAACTCACCATTCTTCCATGCGCACAGACAAAATGAATGGAAGTTTTGAATTTCTTCTTGACACCCCCGTCCTCGCAGTTGTCTCCGTTGGTGTAAGTGAGCTTCACACCGGAGATTGACCTCTCAATCTCAGGAGGTGACTCTGCTTTTCCCAGGCTTCCATGAAACAGTTTCTCCTGCCAAGCGAAACAGCATACGATTATTTCATCTTTTTTTCTTTTTGCCTTTTCTAGCTTTCTGTATTCCGATTTTTCAGGGTGCCACATGTTGAACAATGGAAATCAATTGTGAAAATGCATGCAAAAGATGGTTTTACAAAAATATTCTACTGATAGATTCTTTTTTAAAATGAATGGACAGGCAAATAAGCTTCCATAATCATCTACAGATAGTGCAGATGATAATGACGATGATGATGATGACAGTGGTGATGATAATGATGATGATGACAACAAATATGTAGGTAATAATAATGACAGAGGTGATAATGATAAAGATGAAAATGATGACAGTGGTGATAACGACGATGATGATACTGACAACGATGACAGTGGTGGTGATGATGACCGCCATGTCAGTGAATGGTAGCCCAGTAGCAGCAAAGAGTCTGGTCTGTAACGCCAAACAATATTGTCATGTTCCCCTCAACACCAATAACCTTACTGAGTTGAAACGGGCTTAAGCCTGTACAATGACCAATGACTACACCTCAACACGATCACCTACATTTCCGTGTTGATCCACACTGGTAGCACAGACTGCGGCAAACCTGCCACACTGGACGCCCTTCACCGGCGCCACCGGACGGCAGATGTTGATGTAAAACTTCTGCCTGTCATCTGGCCCATGACCCCTCATCACTGACCAGTTCTCTGAGACTCTGGCAAGGCTGTGGAGTTAATTCAGTTTCGTTTTAGTAAAAGAGTTCTACGGCTCTTGCAACACAATTAGGTCATTTAAGTGCGGAGGAATAGAGGGGTTACTTGAGAGTAACATACAAAGTAGAAGAGGAGGAGGAGAAGAGAAAGGGAAGATAGATGTTTGATAGGAAAGAAAGAGAAAAAACCACAGCAGAGCACCATTCGTCGCCCATCGACATCCCACAAGCTGTGGAGTTGACGGAGAAGAAAGTGTTCTTGGATTTGGAAAAGTCAGTGTGTTGTGTGACATGATCAAAGAAATACAAGGCTTTATTCTAAAGACTGCTGCCCACCGCATGAAACATTTATTTTTATGTCCTTCTCTTGTCAACATTCTTAACCTTATGTATCCGAGCCAACCCCTGAACTTACCCTACCTTCTGCAAACTGAATCCATGGCCCAGAGTGAAAGGGTCAATGGGGGGGGAGGGGGGGGGGAAATTCTATAATTTTTTTTTGCAGAATAAACTGACAAGAAAATTAGTTCTCGTACCAAAGGAGCTTCAAGTGCCCGGTCATAAGCCCAGGGGTCTCAAATCACAAACACAATATATCTTGAAAAAGGAAACCAGACAAAAAAGGAACAATAAAAAACACACAAAAACATAAGTAATGTTTGTTGAGCTTAAGTTACAGTTGTAGATTGCATGTTTTGCTAGGGTCGTATTGCAGAGACACAGGAAAGAAAAAAAACAACAACCCTGAACAAATAACACCACAGCACCCTAAAACCTGGCACAAGGTGAGAAATAAAGAGAGAAAAGGAATCAACTACCTGAAGAGCTTACAAACACAATGGCCCCTCGTGGTGTATGGCACAGTACAAAAAGCTTGAAAATTTATTTTTTCTTAATTGGCTGAAAAAGTGAAATTAACTATAAAAAAAAACCCCAAAACCCCAGCGACAAGCATGCTTCCCACCTGGATAAATCAAACTGCTGTTGACTGTCGTCATCTGTCACCACACACTCCAGTGGTGGTGTGGGGCAAGCGTAACTGGTGCGCCACTTGAATGCGTACGTGAAGTTTTTCTCCTCCAGGAACTCTGGCCTGCCCGTTCCTGCTGCCATGTCACACAGAAAGGCAATCTCTGCCATCCTGGCTGTCTTGCCAGGATTGTTGTACGGCTCCCCGTTCGTATAGGTGAGATTCAAAACTCCATCGAAATATTCCAGCTTAGATGCCGGTTCACCGATCTTTACCTGACCACTGAAAGGAAAAACAAAAACAAAATTAACTTAGGGCCTTAGCGTTACATCTTTTGTTGCTGACTAAGCACTGTGTACTTGTTCACAGTCCATAAAACCGTAACAGATTTAATTCACAACGAAATAAGGCAAAACTACGTTGAAATAAAGCAAAAATTTCCGATGAGGAGAAATAGTAAAACAAGAAAGATCACCTTTGAGAGAGAGAGAGAGAGAGAGAGAGAGAGAGAGAGAGAGAGAGAGAGAGAGAGAGAGATTTGTTTTCTTTTTTAACCAATGAGTTATCAGTCCAGTGTCATTTTCCCTCAATTCCAGGGTAAGAATTAACTTACTGGCTGGCAGATCGCTCCACCTGGCATATGGCAGCGTTGTCGTGAGGGGCGTCCTTGCAGTAGTTGTCATCTTTGACGGCCGCACACACGTTGAGTAGATAGTTATGTCCTAGGGAGCTGGTCATGTATGAATTTCCCTTCTCTCGTACAGTCAGCGGTGTCAGGTCAAACACATACCCTACCATAGATTAATAATAACAATAATAACAACAACAATAATAATAATAATAAATAATAATAAATACCATTTGTATGGCACAATTTCCAGCCAAAAAGCAAACTCTATAAGCTATGCTCTTTACAGTCTATATCTTATTATTGTCAGGTATGTTAGACTGACTTTTTCAAGGGAAAGTAACGTTAGGAAAACGTCCAGCATCGAAATAGCCCACCTTTGTAACATAAACATTGTTAAATACTTTGATTCACTGTTTAGTAAGCTTCTAGTTCTTCACAAATAGGTAATTGAAAAGTATGATTGTGGTGGGTGATCTATCTAATTATTGTTTACAGGACATACGTAGCGTTTTTATTTGGAAAATATTCTGGCAGCACAAAATTGAGAATACAGAGGCTAACCCAGGCCAGCTGTCCAATCAAAACTAAAGCAACTTGGATCAAACCATACACAGCGGTTATAGAGCGCCCATTTAGTTTCGGCTGGCGCGAGGCAAGCAAGCCCGCGCTTCCCCAGGTCACGGGGTCATTTACCTGCGCCGCCGGGGATTTCCCTAATCAGCCGAACACCGGCAGCGCTCTTGTATTTTTTGCAAAGTTTACCAG